GAGGCTGCAATGTCCTGATCAAAGATTTGGAGAGAGATTTCAAAGACAGCAAGTGGTACTCTGATGAAGACAAGTTAGAGATGAGCGAAGAGATGGCAAAGATCACAAACAAGACAGAAGAGCTTGATGCTACTTTAGACAAAGTTGTCTACGCTTTAGATGAAGTAGAAGAGAAAGTTGAAAAACTTTCTAAAGATCATAAGGAGTATGATCTGAACTCTGAAATCAATGATTTGGATACCCAAGACGTGCCTGACAACCACTAGAAGCAAGGAAACAACAATGGAGAAAAAGAGATTGAAGAAGCAAGCATGGAGAGCCAGAGGAAGCTGACCGCGGCTGCGAGCACTTCACCCGCGGCCAGAGTCACTTCCACCGCGGCTTCGAGCTCCTCACCTGAGGTGGAGCATGATTTCTCAGATTGGGAGAACTTCCAACCTCTTTCTGAAACCTGTTCAACTGAAGACAAACCCTTTGTGACCAGATCTAGGTTGTTTGATCAAGCTGTCTTCTCAATCACTGCACAAGCATCAAAGGAAAAGGAGGAATCCAACACTTATGCATCTTGAAACATGGTTTACACTTGTGACAATGAGCTTCTCATAAGATGAAGAGTATGGTTTGTTTGTAAAAGATCCAAACCCGGGGGACGATTCATCTGATGACAACTCAGAACCAATTACCAAGAGCATGTCCAAAGAGAGACTGATCGAATTCAACAATTTTGTGAAGTCCATTCCTCTCTACCATGGGTTCGATGACATCTAGAAGCAAGGCTGGCTTCAAATTTTCTTCAGACACAGCAAGGAGACTAAAGAGAACATCTCTACATATTTCAGAAGAGCCAGGTATCTATCTTTTCCTAGGTCATCACCTGATGCAGGTGTTTACAGGATCCATCTCAAAGATCCCCAAGAAGCCAATGACTACACAAACAAGATCAGCAAAGAAGCACTTGAAGAGTTCAATCAAGTAGTTCAAACTCTGCCCAAGGGAATTTCGTTTGCCAAAGCATGTAGAGACCACATGATAGGCCACTTCATTTGTGACAGCAAATAATCAATCCAAGAGATGAAAGACTTGTTCACACACGCCCAAGAAGGTAGACCAGTTCAACCTCTGGAAAAAGTTCAAGAAAAAGGTAAATTTCTTATCTCTTGTGACATTAGAGTTGAAAGATTTCTCAATATTCTTTGTGATTCTAGAGCTTGCATTAACATGATGTCCAAAGCAGCTACTTTGAGACTTGGCATTAAGCACATTTCAAGTACCAGGACAAAGATTAGCTTAGCAGATGATTCAAGTGCAACACCAAGAGGGATAGCCCGAGACATTCCTCTAAGGATTGGAGATTGCATTGCACCTGTCGATCTATACATAGTGAAGACCAAAGATGACTCTTATCCAGTTATCCTTGGATGGCCTTTCTTAGCAACCGCTGGAGCCATCATGGATTGGCCCAACAGGAGAGTTTCTTTTGCCAATATTGACAAGGACATCTTCTATGAAGCTACACCACTTAAGAGCGAAAGAGGAGAGCATAAAGCCCAGGCATTTGAACCAGAAGAACTCTGGAGTGATGAAGAACCTGCAAGGCAGAACACGAGGATTTCGAAAAGGACTTGTCTTAGGAGAAGATCCTATTTGAACTAAGTCTTTTTCTTTGCAAAGTCTAGCTAAGGACTATAAACCAAAGCGCTTGATGGGAGGCAACCCATTTTGGTACTTATTTGCTTATGTTTAGCTTTCTTTTTCTATTAAATTTTTGTTTCTTTTATTTTAGATAGGCTTTAGTATGCCACAAAAAAAAATAAAAAGAGCTGACCGCGGCCAAAGGAGGTTTAGCCGCGGGCAGCAAGCATTTTTCCACGGCCACGAGGCTTTGAACCGCGGCCAACACGCGTCCTACCGCGGCCGGGATGTCTTGATCCGCAGCCAGCACAAGTCGGACACCCTTAGAAACTTCCACCTCTTCCTTGATTCAAATCAATCCAAGTTTGATCAAGCGCCACTCCACATCATCCACCATCCACCATTCAACATCCTGTCACCTCCACAACCATCTCACAATCCATCACCAACACCAGGTAAGTTTTCTTTTTCTTTAATCTTTTTATCTTTTTAACATACTCTATTTCTCATCCTTGCCTGATTTATTTCACACTAGGACAGTGTGATTTAAGTCTGGGGGAGGATTTCATCCCTTTTTAACCACCTTTTCTTGCATGACCCTTTGCATTCTGCATTTTCTTTAAAATATTTCAATTTTTTTTTCAATTTTTCTTAAAACTTTTCAAAAGTCTTTTGAGTTTCAAAAAGTATTTTCAAAGGTCAAATACATTTTGAGGGAATAATGACAAAATCGATGATGATAACCAACCCGTTTACTTCTACACCAATCATCATAAAAGCTCTTTCAAGGTTTAGTACTAGACTAGGCGGTAGCTAGAGTACTTACACTACGAAATCCCATCAGAAGACTTCTATTCATGGAGATCTTTTCTGACAGGATATACTAGCTCACTTTACTTGGACTTAATCTTGACATCTAATTTTCTCATCAATGGTTTTAAAAAAGGCATCATGACATCTAGGACATATTTACCTTATTGTTACCACTCTTTGTTGTTCTAGATGGCCAGTTCAACTTTAGCTGGTACCACACCCTTAACCCAAACCTTCATGTTCAAACCTCATGCATTCTCTCTTAAGTTTATATCGACAGATATGTGCAAAAACGCCAAAGAGGGAGGAACAACATAGTTTTCAGTCACTCAAGAGAAAGACTGAAAGAGACCAGAACGGAGTGTGCTAGAAATCTTATTATGCCTCAGAAAAGCTCATTCTTAAAGATAAATTTCGTGCTCCCTAATACTCCAAGTCAAAAGGCAGTTTCCTCTTTTCCAAAAAAAAAAAAACGAAAAAAAAGAAAATGAAAGAAAGGAAAGGAAACCAAAAGCCTAAAAGAGTCTTAGAAGCCGAAATCACTTGAGCCAAGGCAATAGGTATTCACCTAAGGAGTTACGGATTCACAACCTAGACAAAAATCCAAGTCTAGAGGAACTATAAGGAGAACCTGAAGAAAGGAGATCAGAAATCTACCTATAGAGAATATGACTGAAACTGTGGGGGCATTTACAGTTCCATCCTCTCTTGTTGTTTTGCATAATGTCCTGTCTCTCCAGAAATAGGTAACTCTAAACACATCAAGCCTTACCATTAAAAAGCCTTTTGATACCTAACCTTGAATGCCTTGTTTAATATCCTTTTGATGAGAATCACTGAAAACTTTAATGAATGTTAAGAGCTAGTTGACTGAAAGTTAATTCTAAGTGTGTGGATTTTCGCATGACGGATTAACAGACTAGTTATGTTTGTATTTTGGTGAGAATTTTCTAGACTTGATCTGATTGATGCATTGCCCATAATTAAGGTCTAGAAGTATGGTTGCTGATATTTTTGAGTTCCCTCTCAAAGGTTTTAATCATTTTTAGGAAATTTTATTATGATTTCCATGTATTTGTAGTTTCAAGGCTCTTTTCAGGAAACCTAGGGAATATGATGGCAAAATGGAAAAAATCCAAATTTTCAGCTCAGAGTCAGACCGTCAGAAGTTCAGCCTCAAATGAAGACTTTCTCAGCGTCTGATCCAGCTCAAATTTGGAGACAATTAAGAGGAGACAACCAGATTTTCATAGCACTTTACATCACAAAGATCCAACGGTGCAATCAAAAGATACATGGAGAACAAATTGACCCAGTTCACCTGTCCCAGAAGACTCTCACCCGCGGGAAACACATGTTTTACCTGTCCTGGAAGACTCTCAGCCCCGGTGGACCTTAGGACGAGCCACAAGGCCCAACATCAATGCCCACTTTGCCATTCCTCTTCAGAGAAGCCCTAAATAAGACCTGGAAGACCTTATGACCTATAAATACATTGTTTAGCAGCCTTAAACGGGTATGTACTTCTGTAACGAGATTTTGAGCCACCAAACTCTGGTTAGGCGATGTAGATGGGGATTCTTCCCCAGATCCATTGTTCTTTCTCCTTTCTATCTTATTAACTTTTCCGTTTCATTGTTTTGCATTCTTCTATGTATTTCATCATTCATTGCATCATGTAGATTAGTCCCAGAGAGTCAAGTTTTTTGAAGATATTGACAAGCATATATATCGATTAGGATTTCTATTGTTCTAGACAATATTCGGGATCTCATCTCTTCTAAGTTGTTCATAAAGCATGAGAGTAGATTTATGACCTATTCTCTGAGCCTAGGATCGATCAGAGCCACGAGAGTGCTATATTAGATCATCCTTACCTAGCTTTAGAAGAACATAGTCACTATAGGAGTCGAAAGCTACCTACAGAGAAGATGTGAGCAGACAAATTCAATGTCTAATGCATGATCTAAGTGATTAGTTGATTAAAGTGACGAGAGTTGGTTTATTATACATAGGTTTATTCCAGTTCCATGCAGATTCCCAGAAACAGATGAAGATAAATAGCTCGGAAGCTATATGGAAATGCCATCATACATCGATTAGAGTAAACCGGAGAAGTCTAAGTTGCACCCTATGAGTTTAAGAGTCTTTAGTTTGAGTCGATATGCTTGAGATTAGATTTAGTTTAGGATTCTTAACCAAAAACCTCAAAAATTTTATTGGTTTATGACTTTGCTTACTTCCCAGTTTGTTGTTTCTCGCAGATTTAGACATCCTCCCTGTGGATCGACACCCTAAGTCATACAACGTATATCTGTGCACTTGCAGACACTAGGGTTTTACGAATTTAAAACTTTTAGAAGACCAACGGGCTTGTTTAAAAACAACCCTAGGCCCGCAAGCCCACCAGTGCTCAGTAGAAGACATAGATTGGTCTTCTAGGTGGATCCTATGGGTGTAATATCAGGAGAGATACCTCTAATGTCGGCCAATGGATAACCTATAGCTCTCCTGAGCTTTCTAAGTTCACTTAACAATGCATGTTCTTCATGAGCTTACAGGTTATCGTTTATAATGACAGGATATGAAGAGTTTGGGCCAAGAAAAGCATACTTCAGCCCTGTTGGTAGAGGCTTGAGCTCAACAGGGGGCACTTTTGTCTCGTCCCAATCCGCATCAAAGCTGCATTTCTCATTGGTAGCTCCCTCGGCATTGGTTTGCTCACACGGTCTTCCCCTGCCCTCGGCTTGTGATGCCACGGCCATGCAACCCCAAGGTGTTCCCTCACTTGTATTGGACCCTCTGATGTCCAAAACCTCGAGACCGCTTGCTTCTAGCTTTAAAAACCTTTTCTCAGCATCAAGTTCCCTCGGCTGATCCAAAACCGCTTGTAGGCCTCACTGTCTTGAGCTAAGTACCCATGCTCTCCTTGATCTTTTGTCAAAACCACTTGGATATGGTATTCTGTGTTTAGTTCCTCAAGGAGCTCATCAGAAAGCCCCTCCATGGTTTCGATGTAGAAAACTTGGCCACCTATGGTCGGCTTCTTCATCATCTCTTTTACATCGAACTTCATGGTCTCTGATCCAATGTGTAGCTCGATCATACCTCCTCTGACATCTATGATCGCTCCTGCTGTGGGCAAGAAAGGCCTTCCCAAAATAATAATATTCACAGGCTCTTCATCCAATTCCAAAACTATAAATTCTGTGGGGATCTCAATCTCACCAATCTTCAAAGGCAAATCTTCAAGTAATCCAATTGGTGGCCTTACCGATAGATCCGCAAGAACAAGAGAGAATCTTGCCGGTTTGTAGCAGTTGAACCCCATTCTTTTAGCAATAGAATAGGGCATCAAGCTTACTGAAGCTCTCAAGTCACACAAATAGCATGAGAATTTCAAAGGACCGATCACACATGGTAAAGTAAAGCTACCAGGGTCTGATAACTTTCTTGGGATTGTTCTCCTCTGAATAATGGCGCTGCACTCGTGACTCAAAATGACCATCCCTTGATGCTCCTTAGTCTTGTTTAGAATCGCATCTTTTAGAAACTTTCCACGCTGAGGAATCATTAGAAAAGCATCTATGATCGGCAATGTCATCTGTGTGTTCTCTCAGTGCTTTTAAAATACTGCCTTTGCCTTGTCTAAGATTTGTTTGTTGAATATCCCTGGAAAAGTAATCTTAGGCTGATAAGGAGGTGGTGGAAATGAGAAGCCTTATCTTTGGCAGGGCACCTCGGTATAGTGTACTGAGAAGAGATGCCTCTGAGAACCCGTGGTGAAGACACTGATTAGTGTAGCTTCGAAACCGTTCCCAAGCTTCTCCAAAGCTCTCATTTGTGTGCTGTGTAAAGCTGGAGATTTGGTTCCTGAGCTTTGCGGTCCTGGAAGTAGAGAAAAACTTAGACAGGAGCGCAAGCTTGCACTGCTCCCAGGTTTGTATTGTTCCCCTTGGAAGATTCTTCTCCCATTGATGCACCTTGTCTCCTAAGCTGAAGGGAAACAGTCTGAGTTTAAAGCTATCCTCCGAGACACCGTTGATCTTGATGAGATCACATACACGGTCAAACTGGTCTAAGTGCTCCAAGGGTCCTCCATTGGTAGCCGTTGAACTTAGAGTTTTGCACCATGTTGAGCAAACAAGCTTTAACTTCGAAGTTGTCGTTTTGAACCGGTGGTGCTTGGATCCCTGCTCGGTACTGGTGTGCATTAGCTCTATCGTTCTCACCAACAAATACTTGTGGAGGCTGCCTTTGAGCTTGTGGCTGAGGCTGAGGAACGTTCTGAGCCTGTTGCGCATTGCGGTTGGCTTGTTGCTGGTTATGCTGAGCTTGCCTTTCATTTCGCTGAGCCATGTTCTGATTTACATAGGCTTGTTGCTCGTTCCTCTCGGCTTGCGCCTGATTTAAATGAGCCTGATGCTTGGCCTCTTGAGCCTGTTTCTCAACCCTTGCTTGATCCTCCATACCCAACCGTTCCTGATTCAAAGCCCTCTCTCTAGCTCTTTGTTCAAGCAGGTTTATGTTGTTGTTGTAAGGCTGAGGAGGCTCTGAACTTCTGGAGCGTGTTCGCATGTACCTGATCACTCAAAGACAAAGCTCAAAAATTGATCAGTAAAACAAAGAAATAAAGACTTGATCTCATGAACAAGCAAAAACTAATGCTAATCCACAAGTTGGCAATGGCGCCAATTGATAACAGGTTTTTTCAAGCCGTTAAAGGGTTATCAATCCCCTGTCATTGTAGAATGAAGATGTATCAATCCATGCTTGTGGTTTAGATACTAGTTTCTGATGCTGTTTAATCTTAAGTCAAGCGAATCAAGTAAATGGTTTTGGTTTCTAAACTAATCGCAATACAAGAACAGAAAATATGATTTAAACTACATGCAAATAAACAAACAAGTAAGCAAGACAGATAAGCGGTTGTGAATGGAATGATACTGCAAAGGTCTTAGACAAATCAATCAAGCAGATTCATTTGGAGTTGAACTCAATAGTAAGATAATCCTCTCATGAAGGCATTAAACTTCTATGCTAATCCTCTTTCATACCAAAATCCCTTTTGAGAAGCATGAATAAGCAAGCATTAAAAATCAGTTCAATAAGTCATTTAAGAGAGCAAACTATCATTATCATGATGAAAGACTCTTAAACCTCTAACAAAACCTGGATCAGGTATTTCAACAAACACTTCTCAGGCGTGAAAGTACCTCAAATCTAGACCACATGTGTTGTTCATGGATCTAGCATAGAGATCGGTTTGTTAGAGAATAAATGATGCAGATCTAGAACCTAAACTCTCTAATCTAGCATTTCAGCACCCTAATATACCCATCTAAGATAGCGAAACTATTAACTAATCAGAAAGAGCACATTTAATCTTTTGCAAGAAGTGATGCTGGACATGATTATAAGCTTTGAAATGATAGACAGAAATGAAGAGAACAGGATCTTTGATGCCAAAAACGAGATATCTGATTAAAGAAACAAGTTTTCACCAAAGAGTCAAGTTCTCAAGGATAGGATAAGATAAGAGATAAGATAAGTGGGGTTTTAGTCCCAAAAACTATATATAGTTCAGCTAAGTGATGCGGGTCAGCCCGAAACAAACCGGATACTGAACCGGTCTTCTTGGGTGCATGGGTGAGTTCCTCGGTGTGTGAGAGTCCAATGCCGAGGTGTAGACGCCAAGGGGTGCACGCGAGATTCATGAAGAACATGCATGAACCCTAGTCTTTGATTCATCTTCACGTGCACTCGTTAGAACATCTTTTTTCTTGATCTGGGTTCGTGACAAGGACCTCGGCATAAATACACCGCGGGGCTTTGGTCGAGGGGACAAGGAAGATGAGGTCCAACGTGCAATGCCGAGGGGCTGAAACCGAGGTCTAGATTCACACTTAGACAAATTCAGCTTTGTTTTCTCAGCATCTTGGTGCACCGAGGGGTTAGTCCGATTTCTGGATTTAAAAGCTTCAGAGAATAGGCCTCGGTATAGGCAATGTCGAGGGAACGACACCGAGGCCTAATTAAACACTTAGCACAAATCGTAACTCTTGAAGCTTGTATTCACCGCTTGTCTCCTCATTGCAGTAACTTTCAGCATGTAACTCCAAATGACTTGAAAAAAACTCCACGAGACAGATCACTCATTTAGCTCGAACTCTGGTGAAGAAACCATCGGCCCTTGAGAAGTGAAAGGTTCAATGGACGACTAATCTTTGAATCGCATTGGAATGGTAAGGAAACAGCTCCTGGACCCATGTTCACTCCGGAGACAATATCTCTTAGCACACAGATCCAAATCGAATGATATCAGATGTTATAGAAAGAAGACTCAAATATATTGAATCTTGATGAAGGCGCCGAAAACTGTATCTAACCGGAAAGGCATCGTCCCACGTAATCTTGGAAACCCATCGGATCGGTTTAAAATGCATGCGAGACAGGTGTGTCTCCTGATGGCCTTAACTCTCTGCTCGCTGCTCCGAATTCAGATATTATAACTGTTCTAGAACCCTGACTTGATCCTCTCCAACTTTTATGAAGACCACGACAACTGATTCGGACCGGAAACTTCCCCGGCCAAGCAATCTTTGACGCGCATCAGCAGAACAAGTTTCAGCCGAGAAATCTTTCACGCGGTAAGCTTTGTAGCCGAGAAATAATCACCCGGCTCGGCATAAAACTTCACTGATACCATTTTCACCCGATACTGACTTTAGCAAAGAGAAATTCAACCGACAACATTTTTAGCCGTGAAAACTGACCCATCCGGTACATGTTTTTGCCGAGAAATTTCTTTAAGCCGTTTTCACCATTTTTGACCTTTTTCTTCACCGTTTCAATTCTGGATCAAATCTCTTCTGCTCCAAACATCCTCAAAAGCACCTAATAAAGACTCCAAACCATAAAAAGACTCATTGAGACCCAATGCAACCCCTATGGTCTAAAACAATGCTTAAGGACCTAAAATACATGAGATAACACATGATTTAGACTCTAAAATGCAGCCTAAATGATGCAAATTATGAACATATTATGTACATAATTCTTTTTAAATATTTTCTGTCCTTTCTTTTTTATGTTTTAGAATGTTTTGATGGGTTTTGTTAAGTGGTCTCAGGTTTAAGAGGTCATCTTGCTTGTGGAAATGAAGGCACATGTGTTGAAAGAGTTTTAAGCAGGGCGGCCTTGGGTTTTGGAGTAAACGGCCGAGTACCTCGGCTTGAAAGCCTCAGTAAGGTTGTACCGAGGGTCTTCCACCAAATGAAAAAAGTCAGGCCTTGAGTTGTTACCTCGTCATGGCCTGTACCGAGGCCATGAAGTTTATCCCCTGGAGACTAAGAGTTTAGATTGGCCTCGGTACAAGCCTATGCCGAGGTAGCTTTAAGGTATGCCGAACCAAATGTGTCCAACCCTCGGTCTTTTACCTCGGCTGGAGCTGTATCAAGGTCCTAGTCAAAAAAGACTGATCTTCAAAAAATGGCTAAGTATTGGTCATACACGTCGGAGTTGACACCCTCGGTACAGATGCCCGAGGTAAAATGTCCGAATCTTTGTTGCACCACCTCGACCAAACACCTCGGGTGGGGCTATACCCAGGATTTTTAGCTGGTTTGAAACCTTTTAAAACAAGGATAGATGCCTAGAGGTGTTTGATGTCAAGGTGTTTTTAAACTTAGACGAGGGAAACGAACCCAAGCACAGAAACATGGTTCCCTCGGCACAGAACCCTCGGCATGGGCTATGCCAAGGTACCCATGTCAAGGCGTGAACAAAAGCGGCCATTTTGAAAAGTGGGGTCACAAAGATTCTCTGGAGGTAAAAGGTTGATAACACCGTATTTTGACCACTTTTATGGATCGTTTTAAAATATTTTTTATATGTTTTTAATTGCTTTTAAGTACTTTTATTAGGTTTTCTAGTATTTGTCGTTCCAAGACTCTTTTCAGGAAACTTAGGGAAAAGCTTAACAAAATGGATAGGAGACCAGATTTCAGCTCAGAGTCAAACCGTCAGAAGTTCACCCCCGATTGAAGGCCTTCTCACCGTCTGATCCAGCTTAAATTTGGAGATCTTAAAGATGGAAGTATCAGCTTTCCAGCACACTTTACAGCTTGGCAATCTAACGGTTCAATCAAAAGATACGCGAAGAGCAAGATGTCCCGTAAACCAGCCGGCAAGCGTTTCTACCCGCGGTCAACAGGCCATTCCCCGCGGTCACAAGCATCCTGACCGTGGCCAGCCACCCATTCCCCGCGGTCATGCACTTTCCGACCGCGGCCAGCCAACTTCGAACCCGAAGGCCCATTTCTGAAGCCCAAAATGATTCCTTCATTTGGAGAAACCCTAAGTGACGCCCAAAGATGTCTTAAGCACTATAAATACATGTCTTAGGAACCTTAATTCGTATCATCACATTCTACACCATCTTGTTTTCGTATTGTTTTTACTTTAGCTTTTAGGGAGAGAGAGATCTATCTCTTGAACCCGTGTTCTTTCTTTTTCAATTTTGGTTTCTATACTACTTTTTAATACTATGTTTTTGATTTCGTTTATCATGTCTGAGTAGTTTTATTGTTGGGTCTAAGGGAT